CCTTACTGCACCATTTATAACGTGGTATTAGGAAGCCTGTGATTGGTGAACACAAATCTGCATCTACAATTTTTTGAAACCACTGAGGTGGCCACTATCTCAGTAGGCTGAACTGGTACCCTAGCCACCAGGTCTTGTATATAATATACAAATACATGGTGGATCAGTAAGAAATCACTGTCAAATAGAAGTAGCCCTACTTAAAAGAGAAATTTCTGCCTCTTCAAATTATATTTTCTTGGTGAAGTGTCTTGAAAAAGTRCACATCGACCTTTTATTTTCTGCCATTCTCATGTCCTGGTAACTAACTGTAGAGCTGTAATCTTGTACTATAAACATTTCCTGTTGGCTCATCATTTTCCCAGGTCACTTGACTACACGTTAGACAATGAGCTTAGATATTCTGTGTTATAACAAACTTCTTTCCAAAGCTGGAAAATGAGGCATATTTGATAACGTACCTGTACACAGCCACACACAGACACCTAGTTTGGAAAGGCCAGTAGAAATCCTGTTAGAAGCAGTCAGTTCTGATTTTAAATGCTAGTCACAGGTCTGAGTTCTAAATGAAATCCTTGGGTACCCTAATTTTGAAGATTTTGGAAAATTATAGATTATCGTAAGTTGCCTACTATAATGTCTAACATGCACAGTGAATAGCAGCTAGTATTACCATTTGACATGGCCTGTTCTTTAATTTACCATATGAAYTTAAGGTTTCATTAACCTTAACAGACACATACCACTCTTCCTTTGAACAATAGCAAGGTCCCTGATGTGTTGTTTTCTTTTCTGTTTTTCATTGTGACACTCAGGAATGTGTGAGATAAGTGGTCTTAGAGAGGGTCAAGAGTCACAGAGTTGCTATAGATAAGACACCTGAAGTCTGTGACCTCTTGGAGACATACAAAGGTTCAAATTTTGTCTCCCCCACCCTCGATACAAATCATATTACCAGAAAAATTCTCTCTGGTATCACACACTGGCTGCAGGTTAAGCTGATGCCCCCTCTGAGCCTGGTGAGATAAAGAAATCCAAAAGCCCTGCCTTTCTGTGAAGGGTTCATCTCCTTTATCATTTCCCCCCTCTCCTTAAGGCCCTGGCCCCAACCTTGCAGCCCMCAAGACAAAGAGCTGTTTTTAAAAGTTGAGTAGCCACAATACATAGCTTATGCTTCCTTAAAGGTACCCACATATTTCTCAAACATAAGCTATAGTATACCAGGAAAAATGAGCCCATAATTTAGCCAAATTTAAACCACGGACACTAAATTAATCATTTTCCATATGTTATATTAGTAACTGGTAATCATTATCAAGTAACGGCTGTGTTTAGAGACTCATTCTCTTTTCTTTTTCAATAAGATGAACGTTTTGGTATATTTCATTTATAAGTCTGAGATCTTTTTTATATTTAGCCTCCATTGGATTACATATAAGAAACAGTAATAAATATTTTTCAGGACTCAGGGGACACATTTTTAAAGGATCAATTCTGACTAGCCATATTAATTCTCTGATTCCCATAGATTTAGCCATATTAATTCTCTGATTCCCATAGATTTAAGGATTAGTTCTTGAAAAATACTTTTAGAAAGAGATATCATTTTCTACAGTTATTGGTTTTTCTCAGACTGGTACAATAACAAATTACTTTCTGTCTAACGACTAATATTAATGGGTTAAGAGGTACGAAATAATCTGCAGTTATCTTTCATATTTGGTAGTTGAGTAAGGTGGGAACTATTTTTAATATGCAGCAGCAAACACTGAAGCAACGGGGTTCCATGAACTTTCTGTCAGCAAAGTTATCAACTGCCAGAAACCCCTGATAAGTCCCATTTCAAGAAGTAGAGTCTGGATAATACCAAGCTACAAGACAACAGTTAGTACGTGTGAACTGCTAGTACTGCCAAATTGAATTACCATTCTGACCCAAAATAAACACCCTGAAGTTAAACAAAGCTAAGTCRCCCATCTGCAAGGTATGTATTGGGSTTAGCTGATGAACAAGACAGACTTTTTGATTTGTCAAAGCAGTTTCAAACTACTGCCATTTCCCTAAGCCAAAGGTTAAAAGGTCAAAGAGAGACTTTAAAGCATATAATAACATTTTCTCGTGGTTGGGGGCATACAGTATTTGCTGAACAAATGACAGAGCTGAATGAAAATTAAATGAGGTTTGCTCTTCTGGGACCACCCTGAGCACAGAATGAAGAATAGCCCTCCTATCCCAATTTTACCACTAATTTGCTGTCACCAGGAAAAGTAACTTAAACTCTTTGGAGCACATTTTCTTTTATGTGTAAAACTGGGAGGCAGAAAATGTGCTTTTTCAATTTCTGTCAAGTTTCTTAAGTTTCCATCATTCTTAAAGGACTCCAAGAGAGCACCAAAGCGTATTGGTTTAAATGATCATTTCTTAACAAAAAGCTATCATAAAATTTCATTTTATTTCCAGTCAACAAACTCATTTTCTGTGTTTTGTTTTGTTTTGTTTCATTGACAAGTTGTCAGACTTCTTCAAATACAGCAAAATTTAAGGGGTTTGGGGATGTAGCTCAGTGGCAGAGCATTTTGGTTTTGTGAGATTGGCTTATTTCACTTTGCTGAGCATGTGCAAGTGCCTGGCTTTGGTCCTTAGTACAACACAAAATAAATAAATAAGGAAGTGAATCTTTAGTTAGAAAAATCACATGAGAACCAAAATCACAGAAAGGATTTTGTTAAAATTAAAAATTTCGTTATATCACCAGGTATGGTGGTGTACACCTATAATTCCAGAGGCTTAGAAGGCTGAGGCAGGAGGATCTCGAGTTCAAAGCCAGCCTTAGCAATGGCTAGGCACTAAGCAACTCAGTGAAACTTTGTCTCCAAATGAAGTATAACATACTAGGGTCAGGGCTATAGCTCAGTGGTTGAGTACCCCTGAGTTCAATCCTCAGTACCAAAAAAATTTTTTTCCTTATATCAATTTAACAACTTTAAATGATTAGTATATTCTAAGTTTTCAGTGTACTAGACTTATCTCCTCAACTAYTGAGTCATGAGATTGCCATTTTTGTGGGTTAAAAACAGCCATCAAGAATTGTTAGTTTCACAGAATTCAACTTACAGAGGAGATCTCTCTGGGATCCCCATTTCCTTTAGTTCTTATATAATGCTGGGCATATTTATTTCTTTAAAAGCAGTATTTGAGGGCAGAAAGGCTTTTTGAAATCACACGGTCTGCATCTGTAATGTAATCCCCAAATGCATTACTTTGCTGTTTTCGATAAGCTTCATTTCTCTATAAGGAAGCAACCTCAACTTGTAGACTTGGTTACTGTTTATAGAAGGGTGTCATGCTTAGCAAAATTAGAAATAGGCTAAGTGTGAAGATATTTACAGGTCATGCTTTTGACTCGGGTCGTACACATTGGAAACTGTTTTCTCTGACATCTCTCTACATTTTTAGTTATGTGATCATCACATTTTAAAGCAGTTTGTTTAATATTTATCAAAATTTGTTTATCCTCATACCTACTGATACGGTTGCTTTAAAATTGAGATGTGGAACACACTGGAACTCAAGCAGCCTGTGTATTGCTATCTCTAATGCGCCATATTGTTCTATTTTTTTATAAATTTGTTTTAATTAGTTATATATAACAGTAGAATGTATTTATGCACTTTGATATTTTATACATAGATGGATATAGTTTCTCATTTTTCTGAGTGTACATGTTACAGAATCATATTGGTTATGCAGTCACATATATACATACAGTAATAATGTCTGTCTCATTCTACTATCTTTCCTATCCCCATATCCCCCTCCACTCCCCTCCCATCACTTCCCTCTACCTAATCTAAGGTAACGCTATTTTTCCCTAGTGTCCCCCCACCATATTGTGAATTAGCATTCTCATATTAGAGAAAACATTTGGCCTTTGGTTTTGTGGTATTGGCTTATTTCACTTAGCATGATATTCTCCAATTGCAACCATTTACTGGTAAATGCCATAGTTTCACTCTTCTTTAAAGCTGAGTAATGTTCCATTGAGTTTATATTTCACATTTTCTTTATCCATTCATCTATTGAGGGATACCTAGGTTGATTCCATGGTCTTAGCTATTGTGAATTGAGCTGCTATAAACATTGATGTGACTGCATGACTATAGTATGCTGATTTTAAGTCTTTTGGATATAAACCAAGGAGTGGGATAGTTGGGTCAAATGGTGRTTCCATTCCCAGATTTCTGAGGAATCTCCATAGTGCTTTCCATAGTGCTTTCACAAATTTGCAGTCCCACTGGCAATGTATAAGTGTTTCTTTTCCCCCACATCCTCACCAACATTTATTGTTGCCTGTATTCTTGAAGATTGCCATTCTGACAGGAGTGAGATAAAATCTTAGARGAGTTTTGATTTGAATTTCTCTAATTGCTCAAGATATTGGACACTTTTTCCATATATTTATTGATCAATTGTATTTCTTCTTCTGTGAAATGTCTGTTAAGTCCCTTAGCCCATTTATTGATTGGGTTATTTAGGGGTGTTTTTTTAAATTATTATTTATTTATTAATTTATTTATTGGTGTTAAGTTTTTTGAGTTCTTTATATATCCTAGAGATTAATGCTTTATCAGAGGTACATGTGGTAAAGATAGTCTCCCAATCTGCCATTTGTTCTTTTAATTGCAAAACACTTGCCTTATTTCTACCTTCTCAAAATGGGGTGAAGATTAAGTAAATAATGCTTTGACCTTGGTACTTGAAGTGAAGTAGATAGAAAATGCATTGGTGTTATTCTGTRTTATCTGGATATGTTGAGAAATTGTGTTCAGTTATGACAGCCATTAGGCAGTTGATAATTTATTGGTCTCAGGACAACTGTCAAATTTATACAACTTTGGCATTTCAAAACACTGGAAGAAGCATCAAGTAAAGCTTCAAAGTAAATGCCTGTGGGATGCATGGCCTAAGACATAGGGTTTCTTGTTTATTTGTCTTAATAGAAACATGAGCTCAGCTGGCCCTGATGGGAGGAAAGTGATGAGAAGGTGTGATGGACTCATTGACTCTCTGGTCCATTATGTCAGAGGAACCATTGCAGATTACCAGCCGGATGACAAGGTAATGTAGCTCATGTGTTGAATTACCTGTTATGACTTACCAAGATGCTTCAGAATATTCTTAGAATAGCTGCACRAGTTTAGATTTATTCACTGACTTGTTTGCTAAGTCTTAGATTTTCCATACATGCTTAGAAATATTAAAACCTATCTAGTCTTATTATTTATTTTTCAGGCCCAAATTTCCAATTATCTGTTTAACACCTAAATGTGGATGTTTCATAGGTGTCCAAATACTAAATGTTCAGCATTAAACTTAAATTCATCTCTTCCCTTTGCCCCTAATTTGATCCTTCTATGTATAATCCTTAATAATTATCACTTTTCACCCTCCAAAAAGAYGGTAATCTCAATAATCTTGGGCAGCCTCCCTTGTTTCACATCCCATACCCACTGGGCAACATATCACATTCTACCTCTGAAGTCTTTTAATTCATCCACTCTTCTCTGTGCTAGCATTGCTGTCGAGTATGCATCTTTCTTACTGGTTGTTGCAATAGTCTCTTAATTGGTCCCTATAAATAATATCACTTCCTGTTGTCCAACTCAGCGTAGCTACTAAGTTATGTACCTAAAATATAAAATTGTTCTAGATACACTCCAACAAGTAAACTAGAGGGCTAGGGAAGTAGTTCAGTGGTAGAGCATYTACCTCGCATGCAGGAGGACATGGTCTGTGTCCCCAGCACCTCTAGAGAACAAAGAAAAAGTAAACTAGGAAGCTTCCCCATTGTTTTAAGAAATCCAGCTTCCATATTTTCATTGTGGTACTCATGATCATTTATGATCTAACCTTAGCCTTTCCAGCCATAATCAGTCATTCCCTTTACCCAAATGTCCCTCCCCTGGCCCTGTTCCATCCAAGCATACCCAGTTGCATCAAATAAGCCTTGTAAGAGCTGAAGCCCTGGGAAATTGCACCCAAAGGATATCTATATGCATGTGAACAATATTCCTATCCTTTTTTTTTCTCAGGCAACAGAGAATTGTGTGTGCATTCTTCATAACCTCTCCTACCAGCTGGAGGCAGAGCTCCCAGAGAAGTATTCCCAGAGTATCTATATTCAAAACCGGAATATCCAGACTGACAACAACAAAAGTATTGGGTGTTTTGGCAGTCGAAGCAGGAAAGTAAAAGAGGTATATTGGGAGGTCCTGGGCAGAGAGAAGCAAGGAGACCAAAATGAGAATGTATGTGTGTGTATGTGTGTGTGTGTGTGTGTGTGTGTGTGTGTGTGTGTGTGTGTGTGTGTTTCTGAGCAATTAATATATGTCAAGCACTATTTTATTTTAAGGTTTTTTAATCCTCATATCAATCCTATGAGGTGTGTATTACTAGTATCTTTGTTTTCCAGGGAGGAAACAGAAAAGGAAAGAAAAGTTCATTAATTTTCCCAGATTAATTCAGCAAATAAGTGGAGGGAATAAAATTGAATTCCCAACAATCTGACTTCAGAAGTGCACTGTGAGCCTCTAAATCATACTGCTGTACACCTTGTAGGTTAGGAAGTAACCTTAGTGCAATACAAATAGAAGTGCATATGTTGGTTAAACATTAAAAGCAGCCCTGATATTTGGCTTTGGGAATTTTGAAAAAAAAAAAAACAAAAAACTTGAGACACATTAAAATCAAACCTCATAGGAAAAAAAAAATACATATGTATTTCCATATTGACACGAAAACTGAAAAAATGGGATCTGCCCTGCTCCTCTTTGACATTTGTGAACTTGGAGAACAACTGGTAYATTTAGAACCCTGACACAATCCTGGATGTTTTTCTTATCTTTAGAGTGATTTTGACCAATTTAGCTCTTAGCTTAAAAGCAGCCTGAAAACCATTCTAGAAGGACTTGTGCCTAATTCTCTTAATTGTCCCCTCACTGTGAAATATGAGATTGGGGAGTGTGGGGTGGTGTAGGAAGAAGAGTTACTGTGAGCTAAGAGTTAAGTAATTAGAAATCATACATATTTGCTTTTTAAATTTCTATTTTAGGGTCTTCTTATTATGCAAATTGTTAGTATTTTTACACAGTATTTCTGGTCTGTTGGCTTGTGTGTAGAATGCAGACATTTCTTGAAGTGCATTAATTCTGGATTCCCTTGTGTGTGTGGTTAGCAATACCAGGATGTGCCAATGCCAGAGGAAAAGAGCAACCCCAAGGGTGTGGAGTGGCTGTGGCATTCCATTGTGATAAGGATGTATTTGTCCTTGATTGCCAAGAGCATCCGAAATTACACACAGGAAGCATCCTTAGGAGCTCTCCAGAATCTCACGGCAGGGAGTGGCCCGGTGAGTACATGTCCATTCTCCTATGACATTGTTGACATACCTACATTAGGTTCAGAGATGAAAAATGAGGTAAGAGCAAAGTTTGCTCACTTCAGTCAAGACAGTTCTCAGAGAACTGCCAGAGAGTGTTTCAGCCCTCCAGGACCTTCAGCCCCGCTCGGCTTCTGTAACAGGAGGTCAGACTGTAAGTGCAAGACTTAATAAATATATTTGTGTTGCTCAGTGCTTTTTCAGTTATAGGTCGCAGAATCCTGCCTTAAACAGACTTCAGGGGGGAAAAAATGGAATTTGTTGGCTCTTGGAAGTGAAAAAGTTCAGGAGAGGTCTTCTTCTGTCTTGACTAGACTTTGGTACTCCAGTGACGATTATGGCTTTTTCCATCTCTGGGTTCTATTTCCCTCTATTGGTTTTRTTCTCAAAGGCCCTACCCATTTGGTAACAAAGATAACTAGGAATTATTTCAGGCTTACATTTTACCAGCCTGGCGTCCTATAAGAAGAAACTATTTTTCCACTTGCTCTATTAAGAACTGAGAGAGGGCAAGGGATATAGCTCAGTTGGTACAGTGTTTGCCTCACATCCACAGGGCTCTGGGTTCAATCACCAGCACCACAAAAAAAAAAAAAAAAAAAAACTGACCTGATTTGAGTCTCTTTATCCAGGACCTGTAGGCATGAGGTTATGAGGTTGGTTGGCCAGGTCTGGGTAATGTGCCAGGGTCTTGAATTTGGGCAGAACTGGATCACGGCCACTTGTACAATATGAACGAAAATGGTAAAGAAGTGGTTCTCTAATGGAAAACCAGAATGTTATCACCAAATGAAGGAGGAATAAATGCTGGGGAGTCAAAAACAACATATGTCTACTGCAGCAAGGAATTAGAAAGGACATCTGTAGGGCTGGGGATGTAGCTCAGTGGTAGATCACTGGCTAGTGTGTACAAGGCCCTGGGTTCAATCACCAGTACTGCAAAAAAAGGAAAGGAAATTAAAAGGACAACTGTGCTTTCTATTCTGCAAATTCAACTACAAAATAAAGAGTTGATTTTCTTTCCACATGTACTTACTTTATACTAGCAAAGTAAAAAATGCATAAAATGGTAAAAATTTATTCCCCTTTCCATGTATTTTTATGCCAGGTTACATATTTATGGATTCTATAAAAAATATTTGAACTGAGCTTATATTCTTTGCCTTAAGCTTATGTTCTTTGCACTGATCATCGAATGATTAAACTTCTCCAGAATAGCTCATTGTATGGCTAATCTTCAATTACCTATCCCCGTAGAAAAAAAACATTCTTATAAGGAACAAAAATGTTATTCAGTCTTTACTTCAAAACCCATATTCGCTTTTAATATTAGTGGAGTTACACAGAAGCCTGCTCTCTGTTTTGAATAAAATTGTGAAACAATAAACCAGTATTTGTCTTATCAGCATTGTAGTTAAGAATGCAACCAAACTTTGATCTCTTTGACTTTCAGGAAAGCATACTTATGCACAGAGAGAAACTGAGGCTCCCTGCTTTCAAGGTGTATGTGGTCTACTAGGAGGAGACACAGCTTAGAAGAGTTGTAACCTGGAGGACTAGGAGTAGTGGTGAGGAAGGTGCCAGGCAATGGGCTGTGTGGGCCATACCGAGAGACCTGCACAAACTTCTGAAGGCAGTGGAGGGTCATGGAAAGGTTAAGCCTGAGGTGGACTATAATCAGATTAAGCTRTAGAAGGATCACTCTAATATAAGGCTTTGAAATCCCCACTGGTGTTTAAGAAAACAGCAGGTTGACCAGCAACATTTGAGTTCCCAATGGAGACTGGAGACCATACATTTGCAGAAGTACCAGTGTGAAAATGCACTGTTTGCTCTAGCAATGTTTGGTAATATAAAATCAGAAATGACAAAAAGCTAAAGGAACCCCAAATTGCAGTTTTGGCAAAAGGGTGAAATGGAAGCTAGAATGAGAAGCATGTTGAGGTTATTGGAAAGGTAACATTTGATGTGATGGTCCATGTACCCAGTGTAAATAAGAAAGATAAGACAGGGGAGGATTGATGATTTAAGGTGTGAGAAATGAAAGTTGGGATAAAAGGACTGGAGGGTTTTGAGGGGCATGCTGGAGATCAAACCCTGGGGCTCACATGTGCTAGGCAGGCGCTCTACTACTGAGTGATGCCCTTGGCTCAGGTTCTTGATGAGGCTGAAGAGAAACATGTTAGAAGTGAGGGAGGGAGAGCGAGGATGGGAAGGTGTGTTCAGAGCATAGCATTGCCAGGTTTATGTTTCCAGAGGCAGTGTATCTCTGGGTGAGCACAGGATCTGTGTGACCACCAGAGCAAGCAGCTGATAAATACAGAAGATGAAAGTCAGTGACTTTGGGGAAGTCTGGGAACTGTGCATGGATAAGAGGTGGAAAGGGCTGTGCACCAGGCTCCAGAGCCTCCAGAGAGAATTCCTCACAGTGTCCGAGTTGGATGGAATAACTGAGAAGAGCAGGGCTTCTGCCTATGAGGGGAGAAACAGCCATCTAGACAGGCCATTAGGAAGAGAGAGGAATGCCCAGCCTGTCTCCCAACCTGATACAGAGAAGTTGTACAGACTGAATAGCTTCCTCCCTGGATGGCTATGGYGGGGGGAGGTGGATTCCTCCCAGAGAACATCAAATAGTCTAAGAGAAAGTTCTGCAAGTTAGTGAAAGACAAATTGTGATTCATCCAACAGTAGAACAAACATTTTGAAACAGTGGTAATTAAACATGCTTGAGTTGTATACACTCTGAGAATCTAAAGAAAGTTATGCACTATTTCCCTGAGAATGTCAAATATAAACACAAGAATAGTTTTAGGGATATCCCATCCTCTCCCTGTAGCTTATCCTGGACTCTATATTAAGAACCCCCTGTATAAGATGGAGTGGAGAAATATAAGAAAAAGAGGAATACAGCTGAGGGCAGGGGGCACACAGTGTTTAGATGAGACAAACAGCATGCTGAAAAATGTTATGCGAATTTTTGGTGTGGAAGCCCTAAAGTAACTTCAAATAGATTTGAAGTCTAATATTTTTTTTTTATTGGTCGTTCATAACATTACATAGTTCTTAATACATCATATTACATGGTTTGTTTCAAGTGGATTATGAACTCCCGCTTTTACCCCGTATACAAATTGCTGTATCACATCAGTTACATCAGTTACCCTTCCATTGATTGACATATTGCCTTTCTAGTGTCTGATGTATTCTGCTGTCCGTCCTATTGTCTACTATCCCCCCTCCCATCCCCTCTTGAAGTCTAATATGAAGTCACAAACACAAACCAAGGCCTGAATTAGAGGTTTGTTGATGATAGGAAGAGCCTATTCAATATTTAGAACCTCTTAAGGGTGATTGCCAACCCAATTCCAAATCCGAGTTGCCTCCAGTGGACCTGGATCTCAACCAGCAACTTGTACATGTTGATTCAAAGCCAAGAATTACAGATTAACCTAATAAACAATACATTCCTTTCTTTAAAAGCCAAACATCCCTTTCAGAATAAACTAGATTTTATTTGGAAATGAATAAGCTTGTTGAGATATGTAAACTGCCCAGAAGAAACAGAAAAGATAAATAAGCCATTCACCAGTAAATAAGTTGAAGTGATAGTCAAAGACGTCTCCCTTTAAAATGTATTCTCTGCTCAGTTGACTATCTAGAAGAACACAGATTCCATGTCACCACAAAAGTGAGTGGCTGATGAACAGCTATGTGGATGAATTCTACCAAATCCACAAGGGCAATACAAGAAAAAGAAAGGAYAGACCCATTGCATTTATAAATATAAATGGAGAAAAATATAATCGCTAACCAAGTCCAACATTCATTTAAAAATATCAAATGAACTGTTTTTATCTGGTAATTAGATTGAAAACCTAATAAGAATTTTTAAAAAGTATCTTCGGACTGGTTTTATCACCRTTCTAGTTTTTTGTTTTATTTGGTTTTGTTTTGATGCCAAAGTGTATATCCCCAATCCTTTTTAATATTTTGTTTTGAGACAGGATATCACTGAGTTGTTTAGGGCCTCAATAAGTTGCTGAGGCTGGCTTTGAATTTGCAGTCCTTTTGCTTCAGTCTCCCAAGCCACTGGGATTACAGGTGTGCGCCACCATGCCCAGCTGTCATGTCACACACACACACACACACACACACACACACACACACTCACTCTCTCTCTCTCTCTCCCCCTCCCCCCCTCTTTCTCTCCCTCCCTCCCCCTCCCTCTCTCTCTCTCTCTCACTGTCTCTCTGCCTCTCTTTCTCTCTTTCTCTTAAGTGGAGTTAGTTTATTTACTTTCCAATATATGTATATTTTTGTTTACTTATTTATTTGCTTATTTTTACTTTCTGCATGCAGAAGAGCAAACCCAGGGTCTCATATTTGCTGGGCAAATAACCACTGAGCTATGCTCTTATCCCCACAGTTCTAGTTTTTAAAACATCTTCTAGTAATCTACCAAAAAAAACTTTAATATTACTATGAAATCAAATGCAATAGCATTTATAGGACATCTCACAAAACAGATGCCAACATCAGTAGCCCAGACGGTTGTCCAGAAGGAAAATGGCCTCCAGCACACCCGAAAGATGCTGCACATTGGTGATCCAAGTGTGAAAAAGACTGCAGTCTCCCTCCTGAGGAATCTGTCTCGGAATCTTTCTCTGCAGAATGAAATTGGTGAGTTGGTAAAGTGCCTCATGTCATAGGTACATGTTGAAAATACAAGTGCAGTAAGACATTGTTGCTATCACATTCTTTTTGCAGTGATGAACTAGAAATGTGAGTAAAGGGCAGAAGGTGGTAAGTAGGTCTGGCTTTTGTGCCATATAACATCAAGGGCAGACTTTCTTACTGGTCTCAAAATAGATTGCTCTTAATACACAGACTTTTAGTTTGCTTTAATTACTTACAGAGGAGAAATTTTAAACCRTACTAATATTTCACTAGATAAACAAGATGTTTGACATTTTTCATCCTTCAGCCATGCCTCTCAGTGAAGTCTTTTTAAATTACGTAGATATTGTTCAGGATATTCCCCATTTGACCTGCTTACGCGCCACTGTTCTAGAACATCAAGAAAACATACACGGTGGTTGTTTAYTTTAGAAGGTTGGCAGTGTGTTGGACTGGAAAAGGAAAGAATAGACAGGTAATCACAAGAAAAAGACAAAAGGAACCTGAATGTGGCAGATTTGGCATAGATGTCTTTAGAATAGATACAATGAAACCTAGTTGCCTTTTGTTGTTGTTGTTTGAAAGACTGCATTTCTGATGATGATGATTACAATGGTAAGTTATCATAACATAATTTTTCATTCATTTGCTTATACCAGGAAATATTGGATAACTGCTTGTTAAATCCGGTAAAAATATGTAAAATGAGATAAAAAGAAGACAATGCTAAAATTATGCATGCTTTCTAATGCTCCATAAGTTGATCATTTCTAACAACCTAAATTCAGTTTTTCACAAAAGTCYACTAAAATTATAAGCAAATTTTTATTTGTTTCTCTTAATGGTTAAGTTTTGGAATCTGCACACACGAATAACCCAGGGATATTGAAGTTTGCTGTGTGGTTTAGTCACATCATTTTTAAAGACAGCCAGCAGCACACTTGACAGGAGGTTTTGCACAATACTTTCAAGCCCATTATAAATATAAGGAGAGCCTGGAAATTTCCACTGAATCTAAAAGAAGCCTTGCCATGGGCATTCTCAAAATTATGAAAGTGCTCTTCCTATTGTCTTTTGTGGGCTTTTGTGCTAGCTTCTATAGAGGTATATTATCCTTTAGCTTTTTTTTTTCCTTTGCCCATATAAAACATTGACTCCATCTCTAGAACATTGCCAAGGAAAATAACTGTTGTGCACATTATGCACGTACCTTTGGGACAGAAATGCTGTGAGTTTTAGGTCCTCTAACTGTTGGAAAGGTGTTGTAACACTGCTAAGCCTCACTCTAAGAACAAGAGAGAATAGATCTCAGCAAGATAAATACTGTTTTAAAATTCCATATTGGTTTTATGTAACATATTATTTTGATTCTGAGTTTTAATAKCCAAGAATGAGTGAAAATCTGTTAGAATACATCCTTTGAGTTTCTCATGAGAGATTTCTATGCCAGGGAACTTTCCATGTGCCAACCTGGAATGAAGTTATCACATTTTACTTGCGTTTACAGRAAAAAAACGTGAAACATTTTTTTCTCAAAAACTTGAAGATAGGCAACATGTCAGAGAGAAGAGATGGATTGCATGCCACAAAGTTACTACTTTGCCAAACCGTGTCACCTTAGCTAGTCACTTAACTGCTGCACACCAAGGGAGATGAGTAATTACTGCCTCATGGTGTTTTCCAAGGATCAAATTAAGTAATGTGTGTGTAAGCCCTGGTAAGTGGTAGACATCTCAACAATTCCAGTTCACATTAGTCATCACGTGGGTGTTTCCAGATATCCAAATATTAAAGATCTACCAGGCCCACAGTCCACTCTGGAATATAGATATATAGATATCTACTGTGTGTGTGTAGAGAGAGAGAGAGAAAGAAAAATGTAGGTATGGATATAGATATACACCCTCCCGTACTTTTTTTTTTTTAGAGAGAGAGAATTTTTTAATATTTATTTTTTAGTTCTCGGTGGACACAACATCTTTGTTTGTATGTGGTGCTGAGGATTGAACCCAGGCCGCACACATGCCAGGCAAGCGCGCTACCGCTTGAGCCACATCCCCAGCCCTTCCCATACTTTTTTGTGGTATGAATTTTCTAAGAAAAATAAACATGATAGAAAATGTTAGATTCTAATTCCTTTATTTGCCACTTCTCCTTAGCCATGACCCTGAATTCTGACCTTAACTTTGATCTACAGAGGTGGACACTCATGGCACAGTAAGGAAGAGAAGGTGGGCAAAGTTCTCAAGTAGACAGCCTGGGTCTCTGCTGCCATTGCTATAGCCTCAAAGAGATTGATCCGGTGTTTGTTGTGCAGTGGTCTTGGGCTTATCTCCATATTATTCAACTAAATTCAGTGAAAGGAAAGTTCATGTTCTCAAGGTCTTTGATACTGTGGTTTAACTTATTGAAAGGAGGAAAGCTGGGGCTGGGGATAGGGCTCAAGCGGTAATGCGCTCGCTTGGCATGCGTAGGGCGCTGGGTTCGATCCTCAGCACCACATAAAAAATAAATAAAATAAAGATGTTGTGTCCACTGAAAACTGAAAAAAAAAAGATGAAATAATAATATAACAAGCATCTATTTAGAGCTTACTGTGGGCAGGGCACAGTTAATACACAGTAGYTCACTAATTCCCTAAAAAAAGAAAAGAAAAAAAAACTGTGAAATAGATACTGTTATGATACCTAATGTACAAATTAGGGAAATGCAACACTAAGAAGATAAGTAGCTTGTTAAGGCTCAGAGTCATTAAGTACCAGAGCAGGACTCAAACTAAAGAAGTCTGGCTCCAGAGGCTGAGCTCTGGGATCTTAACACTATGCCATGATGATTAGACACGGTAGTGTTCAGGCCTTTAAGCAGAAAGCATGTCTTACCTGCCAATCAGGTCTGGTCATGATCTAATGACAACATATCATTCATTTTATTGAGTACTCATTTTACTGAGTATCTCTCTGTTTCAGGAATAATGAGTGATGCTAGAAACACAGAAAAAAAGGTAGTTGTAGTTAAGAAACCTATAGTCCCGCTTGAAATTCAGACAGGCACATAACTAATTATAATCCAGTAATAGAAAAGCATGGTTCAAGGTGCCACATGAACACAAGAACAATAAGATATTTGTTACACATCCATAATCAACACAACACTGTATTAAGGAGCTGTGGGGAATAGCATGAGCTACAAAAACATGCTCTCAGTCTTGAAAAGGAGTTCCTGAGTAGTTAGAGAAAAAAGAAGAAAACATATGTGTAAAGAATTATTACAAAATTTAAGTACAAATTTATTTATATTGCCCAAAATATTTAGACCTTGGGACAAATCATAGTGAAATCTTCAAATATTAATACCTCTCTTGCTACTATTAAAAAAAAGCTGAACTTAACTTAATTCTAACAAAGAAGTTACACACATGGTGGAAAAGAATATTTAAAATTGTTCATTTCTCTTTAAGATAGTGGCTTATCTATGTATTGAAAAACCTCTGAGCCAGACGTGTTGATGCATGCCTATAATCCCAGTGGATTGGGAGGTTAAGGCAGGAGGATCCCAAGTTCAAAGCCAGTCTCAGAAAAAGTGTGGTGCTAAGCAACTCAGTGAGACCCTGCCTCTATATAAAATACAAAATAGGGCTGGGGATGTGGCTCAGTGTTTTGAGTTCAATCCCTAGTACCATCCCCACAAAAAAAAAAAAAAAAAAAAAAAGAAAAAGAAAAAGAAAAGAAAAACCTCTGGGAACTACAGATAATTTTTGAAAAAAAATTTAGGTTCTCATTGATACTATTGTAAAAACAGTTTTTATTAACATTTTAGTGTAGTTCTCATATGTTTTCTTTTATAGAATCATGTATACCCATAAGTCCTGATATTTCACATAGAATATTAATACAAACATTTTCCTGTTATACATGCTTAACAGATGTGTTTTGGAATGTATAGGGTTCTTTACATGTATATTTTAGCTAATCATATTCCTGTTATTTGGCTATTTAGGCTTTTATAATTTTTCACTCATATATAATACAATCAGAAAGATCACTGCAGAAAACTTTTTCTATTTTTAAAGTGAGTCTCTCAGGTGTATTCCCAGAAGTGGAATTACTGAATTGAAGAATATGAAAATTTTTAGATTCTTGTCACTTTTGACAAATTACTTTGTGAAAAAATTTTCAATAAGCTGAGCATGGAACATCTTCAAATGTTTAAATTTGATTATTMGAAAAGTTACTTCTTATTTGTTGAGGAACTGTGTTTCCTTTTTTTTTTTTTTTAATGTCTTTTACTCAAAATGTATTAGGATCTTGGGATTAAGAAAAATCTTCCTAATCAAGTGTCTTTTCTGTCATCTTGTAGCCAAAGAAACCTTACCCGATTTGGTGTCTATAATTCCCGACACAGTCCCAAGTAATGACCTTCTCATTGAAACTACAGCCTCCGCCTGTTACACCCTCAACAACATAATCCAAAACAGTTACCAGAATGCACGAGACCTTCTGAACACGGGGGGCCTGCAGAAAATCATGACCATCAGCGCAGGCGACGCGTAAGTCCTTCAGTATCTGCCCATCAGTCTCCCCTTTCCCTACCACCTCCCCAGTGTAAGTCTTCTAGTTGTGAATGTGCCTTTGATGAGTGCCACGGGCAGGATGGCTACAAACACAATCACAAAACTGGCCCAGACTGTCCAGTGATGAGGCAAGTGAAGAACTGAATCAGCCAACCCACATGGTTGTCTATTCTCCTATAACCATCAAGAGAGGGCCAAACTCTATACCTTCTCTTGGCAGTGTATTCCAGCATTGCATCGACCTCATGAATTTGTTTCCCAGCACCACCACTGTGATCTAAGAGAAGCAGAGGCAAAGTTGGATCCTGTGGCGGCTTAGACTGAGCAGTGAGAGCAGTGGATGGCAGCTGCCAAGAAATTTTTGCTTTCTCAGTTTTCCCCGTCACATCCCTTCCACATCTGATTCCCTTTTTTYGAATAGAAGTCCCAGTCCTGTAAATCATCTCCCATTCCTAATTCTGGGTATAACTGAATTATTACTATTCGTTAATTTAGAGTGATGGATGGGAAGGAATATAAAAACTATTGTCTCTTTCTCTGCATACAATTCTCTCAGAATTGTTTGACTTGTTATCTTCCTACAAATACAAGATTTTTTTTTTCTTTTTTAATGCTAGAGTTTAAACCCAGGGCCTGGTACATGTTAGGTAAATACCCTACCACTGAGCTACATCCCCARCCTTATATGTTATCTTTGTAAATAACCAGGGGAAAAAAATGTCATTATTGCCTAATTTTAATTAGTAAACAGACTTTACCTGTAGTGGACCAATGTGTGTTCAGCCATATGGAGGTGAGAATGGGGGTCTGGGGTATCCAGGAATGGGCAGTCATCCCCTCCAGTGCCCCCCTGCCCAAGGCTCTGCAGCCTGCCTCTGGCAAAGCTCACGAGGAAAGAGTACCACAGAGCCAGGTGATCAAAAACAAGCCTGGARCCCTGGCTTGAATATCATTTCCCAAAAAAACAGAGAGCATTCACCTCTTCCCAGAGCCTGACAGGTAGCAATTACCTTTGTGGAAAAAAAATGAATTATTACTGCAAAACAGAAACAACTCTTCCAAGTTGACACTTAAACTCTAAGCAAACCTCCCTCAGGTAGTAAATACATACTAAGGTAGTATGATTTTARTTAATTGAGTATTCAGATATAATAGTTGTTGCCCTTAGGAATACAACATCACTTTTGGACACTTCTAATAACTTAGCAAGTTAGGGGGATGTACTACTGTCACTTGTGTGTTGCCCCGAAGGTCTGCTTATGAGTGGGTCCTCACATGACCTCTCAAAAAAAAAAAAAAAATTAACAGGCATTCTGTTTTTCCTGCTGTTCTTTCCCAATTGAGTGTTAACTATCTGACCTATCATTAATGAGCTAGCCTGGGAACTCATTATCATCTACAACATTACACCTTTGGATAAACGAGTTTCCAAGTGCCAAACAACCAACTTATAAACAAACTTTATAAATATAACCACCCTGCAATTTAAGAACTTTTTATGGTTTGGGGTATGAGAAACTCATAGCTTTCATGGACTTATTTATATTCAGTTATCACGTACTAAAAATCAGGGCTGGCAGGAAGGAGCAAGGATTTCAGCTGATGATTGACCTCAGCGTGCTCCTCTCCCCACAGCCTGGCTTTCTGGATTCTTGCTTGCATGTTTACAACTCCTGTGATGTGGAAGAGGGACAGAAAAAAACACAACCTTTGTTTCTTTGTTTAAAAAAAGAAAATTCAACAATGTACTAATGAGGTGTTGGGAGAGAAAGAGATCCAAGAAGGCACTGATCTTTGGTCAGATATAGGAAATTGAGGTTACATTTAAAAGGGAACATCAAAAACAAATATCAGTGTCAACTTCAGTGGTGACTTGGATTTAAAACAGTCACGAGTTCTCCATTTATTCTAAGACATAAAGTGATTCTGAAACCATTTTAACAAGTGCTGCCACAAGAATTTCTTTTATTAATTAACAGCCACTGAGTCTATGAGGTATGTATGTATATCCAGTCGTACATTCCTACATTGATGTTTAATAAATACATATCATAAATATACAAATGTAAATTGTATTCTATTAGTAAATTCAAGGATTTGTAACATGTCTAAGGATGTATTCCTTATAAGTATTAGGAATTTTCTCTATAAAATACTTATTATTAGCACAGCCCTAGTGGTTTAAAAAGATTAAAATAACAACTAAAGGTAAGGGCTGGGAGGCGCTCAGTGACAGAGCACTAGACTAGAGTGTGTGGGGCCCTGGGTTCCATCCCAGCACCACAAATAGAGAGCAAGAGTGGTGTACCATCTCCCATTCTCAGCCACCTCCTCTGGCTGCCAAAGCAGTGATTGAAAACACAGAATATGGGAAGGCAGCATCCAAACCCCTCACACATCTTGCCCTGTCCTTTTCTTTCCAGCTATGCCCCCAGCAAAGCCAGCAAGGCTGCCTCTGTGCTGCTGTATTCTCTGTGGGCACACACGGAGCTCCATAACGCCTACAAGAAGGTAAGAACGCTGACAGAAGCTGACAGCCAGCATGTCGCAGTTACAGAGCCAGGTGACCGTGACCTGCCTGGCACTAAACCACTAGAAAACTGCATTTTCTTATGTGAGAATTGTGTTGCCTTTCATGTTTCTGTCTATTTTTTCCAAAGGCTCAGTTTAAGAAGACAGATTTCGTCAACAGCCGGACTGCCAAAGCCTACCACTCCCTTAAAGACTGAGGAGGATGAAAACTTAACCTCAGATATTTCAGCCTCACCATACTCAACTGCAAAAAGCCCCAAAGGAAAACACCTATTTTTCTACAACCCAGCCCAAGAAACCTCAAAAAGCATGCCATGTTTCTATCCTTTTCTATTTCCATGGTCCCCAGAATGCAGAAAACAAATAATCAGGACATAATTTTGGTAGGCTTCCAGGAGATTTTTGCAAGTGCTCCACCAGGAGATAATGGCAACCAGTTCTGCGTTACCCTCTACAAAAGCCATGTTTGTTATCCAGGCCTATGGTGTGTGGCCTTCTAGAACCAAAATGTGAATTCATGTGGCAGTTAACAGAATACATAAGGAAAGAAGCTGTTGTATTACTAGAATTTTAAAAGTCTGATTTACACTTGTATTCCTTTTCTGGTTTCCAGTTTTTATCACTCATCTTCACATTGCTTCACCATTGAGCCACAAGTGTATTATTCTGCAGTATTGAAACAGATCAGAAATGCAAGAAATATTTGCAGAGTTATCCAGAAGAAAGTGTAATGGCAAAATTGTTTACTTTGAGCTTATTTTTATCCTCTTGGGTTTTTTTCCCCCCACCCTGATTTTAAATGAATTTAAGAAGTTTAGATTACAAAGCACATATGACTGACTATAAAAGAAAGAAATTGAGAGGAAGTGAATATACCAAATTTAAGATTTTTTTTCCATAAAGATAGGTAACTAAGGTTATAAAATCCAGTGTTCTCCCTAAGTGCTAAGTAAGTGAGATTTTTGCTAAAGGAAATACTTTGCCTACAACACCACTATTAAATGCAAATTTCTTCTAACTAGTGGCATTCGGTACCATCYATTTCCTGTGCTTTTTCAGCCACTGCATTGGGCTGGTGGAAGAATGGACTCCACTCCTGAGTTCTAAGAGGAACCACAGGGATCCCTTAGACTGCTGGGCCAGCTTTGGGCACTGAAACAGCTCTAATGAGTAACTATCAAGCAGCCCAACTTTGTCCAACATTTAAAAACTAGCACAAAACCACTAAGTCTTCTGTGATCTTCCTCAAGCCATTATCTTAAGCCAAGAAAACTCTAGAGGAAAAAAGTGAAGAGGTTGAGGAGAACTGAGAAGGTGTCAAGGCCATCCAGAAGTGACTTGAGAAGCACTGACTAATCAGTGCTTAGAAGGCTAATCATGTCTAGTAAAGTGCATCTGCACAAAATGTTGTTTTAAATGGGCTGTGATTAAAACRTTCAGAGAATTAGTCTTCAAGGCTATAATTCTGTTATATTTTGTTGCTTTGGAAAAGTCTAACAGTTTTTGTCATAAAAAAGTAAGAGAAGACTCCTTCAGATCATTTTGGCCAGGAAAAAAAAATGTAATAGAAAATAAATTCTTATTTCCAATTAAAATGTGTATGTAAGTCTTTATATTTGTAACTTAAACATTTTTTGACTGTTACAGCTCAGTGAAGACTACTAGGTTACTAAGGTCAAACTGAAATTATTTAGATGTCCATTTTTTAAATACTATAAGAGAGAATTTATATCTCTTTTCCAGATTTCTAACAATAAGCATTTGGAGTTTATTTCTCCAGGTAATTGATGTATGTTCAAAAGTTCCTGTGTTTTGGGGAGCATTAATAGAGACCTTAATAATACTAAATACAGAATGAGGCAAAAATAACATTGCCTGCATAGGTATTTATGTGTATATGATTTGTTTACCTTTCTATATGACAGGAGAGTTGAGGATTTGACCTTGTAAACTTCAATTACTTTTGAATATCTTCTTATTATTACTATTTCTTTCCTAATTAGAGTCCTAAATTCTTTATCAAGGAACAACCTGTAAGGGCTGGGGTTGTAGCCCAGTGGTAAAAGCACTTGCCTTGTATGCATGAGGCCCTGGATTCAATCCTTAGCACCACATAAAAATAAATAAATAAAGATATTTTTAAAAGAAAAAATGAAAAAAAAAAAAGAAACATCCTGTAAGAATACAGGACTAGCTAGTAACTAAAGTATATAAAAATGGAAACATACAAACGTGCTGGCTGTTGTTAGATTTAATATGTTGAGGGGGTCTGTGTCCATGAAAAGACAGGCTATATTTGATCCTCATATCCTGCTTTGTCCCTCTGTTTGCAAACATTTCCCTCCTTTACTATTTGTGAACACCTTTGAGGGAAATCCTTATATGAGTGAATATCAGTTTGGACCATAGGTCTATATACAAAGCTCTTTTTTTCTTTTTCTATATGTCCCTGATTATGCCCATGCCATCAAAGGAACTAACAGGCTTTCTCATTTATTTTACTAAGAATTCCAAAGGGCTGATTCTATGTCGATAATTCTTAATGGTCTTTTGGAATATGGGTAGTTGCCACCTTAGATTCCATTACTGGAAACATCTGTTTCTACCTGATGGAAAGAACCAAAGGGTTATCTGACAAGATAAAGAGGGGATTAACATGTCCAGTGRGAAAATAAGCAGGAGGAGAAAAACCACTTTAAAACCAATTTTACCACTCTCTGAAGAAGCAATTCCTCACATAAAACAGAAAATTGAACATGTTTAGGAATTTACAGACACTATAGGTAGTGAGATTTCTTCTAAATAAATATGTAATAAACACTGCATTGTAATGAGGAGGACTTTGGTATATGTACTTCGAACAAAATTGCAGAAGAAACCTCAAATCACATAATCTTGGGGATTAGGAAGGAATTTAGAAAGCATCTGGTCAAGTCCTCCTTAAAGTATCTTCTTGCGTCAAAAGAGACCCAGTTCTTATTAATGTGAAAGCAGAGAAACAATTACACATAGGACTAAATACCCAACAAGACCTCTAACTGGTCCTTTTTAAGATTCAGTGACTGTTGCATTGAAGTATTTATTGTGCAAGGAAAGAAACAAAATTTTAAAATAAAACTTGGCTCTAAGGTTAACTTTTTTAGTTTAACAGTATTCCTCACAGTTTCACCACTTATGAAATAAATTCAACCTCTTAAGGTCTCTCAGGAAAATTCTCTTTGTGATACCATGTTTAGGAAACAGAGATCCAAATGCCATATGGTAGCATAAGAGCTGTTTAAAGTCTGAGCAGAAGGGAAGGCGTTCTGAAAACCATCGCCTTTGAGACTCAGTTAAAGTCCAGCAGTATTTAGCCTGGAGAAGGCATCCCACTTAGCACTTTGTGTTCTCTGAAAGAGCACTGTGTGGAAGATGGCAGTCTTATTCTGACACAGTGCCAGGCCAACAGGTGGAAGTTTTTGTGAGCCTAGCTTTGGATAAGGTGGGAAATGCTGAGTCCTCCTCACAGCCTCCCCATACAGTACAGATTTTCTTTATCCATGGGAAAACCCTGAAACAGGCATTGAGTCCCATTCCCAAAGTCACAGCTGGAAAGTGCAGAGGATCTACATGAAGCCAGTCCTCTCTGGGGGTCTCCTACAAACCCAGTGAAAAACTCATGTCTCCATGCTGATGAACTGGGGGGTGGATCTCTTTGGCTTGGCTCTTTGGAGAGAAATGACTACAGTATTGCATCACATCTAAGAAGTCTGGCTAAACAGCCAGGCTGAGTTCAAATTGTAATTTGTCTCTTCTTAGCTGGGATTTCTTATTCTTACTGAGCCTGAGTTTTCCTTGCCTGTGATATGTAAGTGATGGTAGCRTTCATCTCACTGGGTTGTTCTGAGGATTAACTTTTAATAAATACAGACCATGTAAGACAGTGCCTGGCAGTATGTACTCAATAAATTCTAGCTAAATAATTTGGAGTTCCTTAGAGGTCTCTGCTTTTCTTTTTTAATTCATCTCTTGAATTTCTTTTTGCAAATATGGCTGGTTCCGCTAAAAACCCCAACACTTCTCACCCAGCCATTTCTTTCTCTCCCTCTCTTTCCTCTCCCCCTTTCCCCCCCCACCCCCCACCACACACACACACACACAGCGGCTCACCCCTTCATGGGCTAGGTAGAAAGGAGGAAAATAAATATGGGTCAGGCAAGCAATTCTGAATGCCTGCTCCTCAGAACATGAACACTTTGTGGGTTTTTAACTGTTACATGAAAAGAACTATCCCACATTTAAATAAGTTTGAGAAAGGCTGAGTTATAGAAAGATCAAAAGGTTCTTGACTACAGAACTTCCTGGAGTCCCTCATGTCAGCATGCATTGAGAAATCTCCAAGGAGTGAATCAGTAAGCCCATTTTTTTTTCCTTCCTTAACTCTTGAAGCTGTGCCTTTGTTATAAATGCTTCAACCGACAGAGGCAAAAGAATGAAAGGTGTTTGATTTTTATCTGGTCCCTGGTCCAGTTCGTCAGACTCAAGTCTCAACTACTAATGAACCAACCATACCTACGGCTAGTCTTGAACAATCTCAGTAAAATCTAAAAGTCAGTGATCTCAGTAGATTTCAAGAACCATTTATTAACATTTTGTTTCATGCTCGCCTGGAATGCTGCTGATCTACAGGCAGAGGGTAGCTATCAGCCCAGAGAAGTAGGTCAAGGCCACAACAGATGAATGTTGGTCAGCCTCTACCAGGCTAATCAGACTTTCCCATAAATCTCACATCTGTCAGCAGGTAAATCTCTTAGAAGCCTGAATTTTGTGTGTAAGCTGCTAATAATACATCTGGCAAGGAATTAAAAACAAGTCCAAACCCTTGCAGTTTTCTTACAACCATAAAAGATATTCTTCCCAATCCTTAGGGCGAATTTTTTTCTTTTTTCTTTTTTTTAAGGCAAAAGTTAGGGTTTTCCATTTTTAAATACAACTTTCAACATACATGACTTGCAAGCCAGGCACAGTGGTGCACACCAGTAATCTTAGATACTGGAGAGTTTCGGGCAGGAGGATCACAGGTTTATGGTCAGCCTCAGCAATTTAGTGAGACCCTGTCTACAAATTACAAAATAAAAAGGGCTGGGGATATAGCTCAGTGGTAGAGCTCTCCCTGGGCTCAATCTCCAGTACAAAGAAAAAAAAAAGGTACATATTACTTTGAATTCCTAGTCCTGGAGTTGATAAAAGTGTGACTATGAGGAAGGGCCTCTCAGATYTTGGTGAACCAACTTTCATCCCAATTTCTATAATATCTTTTCTTCACCTGAGAAATGAAATTCAGAATAGGTTGCTCTTAAAACCAAGAATTAGTTAGTGTGAGAAGCAGGAAATTGTTAAGATACCTGCATTGTTAGCCAGAAGAAATAGAATTAATGACAGTCAAGAAAAACAACCCATGRCAACTGCATATTAAGTAGGGAAAATTCCAATATTCAGAATATTGACAAAATTTTCCCTTAGAAACTTTTGTTTGTTTTGCCCTTTGATCTAACTGAGGATTTTCAAAGTACTAATTTTAAAAGTAAAAATAATCTATTTTAATGGTATTGCTTTAGCAGCTCTATATAAGAATTATGTGTGACCATWGTAAGTAACACATTCCCATCTTTTATGGTGGTGGTTCAATACCTAAAGTGACCCAATTCCACATCTCACGGTGTATTTTTTCCTTCTTTAGTTTATCACTTAAGATGGTTCATTTACATTCAAGTAACAAAAAAAGGTCAAAATAGCTTAAGCAATAAGTTGTGTTTATCTTGCATAACAGGAAGATCAGGATCAGGCTTGGCTATTGCAGTTGTCCATTTATAAGTACATTTTTTTTTAAGAACCCAGATTCTTTGTCTTTCTACTCTCTCATGCCCTRCATGTTATGTTGGCTTTYGCTCTCTGAGTATCTCTTACAAAATGGTAGCAGCCTCTCCAAATATCCCATCCTCAGAGCCCATTCACAAGCTAGAAGAGCAAACAGTCCTCTCTTGCATTCTTTTTTTAATAAGTACAGAAAATTTTCCTAGAAGTCCCCATGAGACATCTCTCATTCATTTTTCATTGTCCAGAATTACATTATATGTCCATTCCCAAGCCAGTTCCTGGTAAGAAAAAATGAAACCACTAATCCTATGAACCAATCACCCTTCACTCAAGACTGGACTTGCCCACACTCCATAGAATCATGAAAGGTGAATACCTGAAGGAAGTCAGGATTTTATTGAACAAGGATCGGGGAAAGGCTACAGAGTAGTCAAGCAACAGTATCCACTATATGTAGAGACATTCAGAGAAGAAGAATACAGCAAGGTTTAGCAAGTTATTTCATTTGGCCTGTAAGCTCACTACGTTCTTTCAAACACTTAAGTGTTTTTACTTCAGGTTTTTCTGTGATGGTTGTTGCATTGCATTTAGGACAAAGTCCATGAATGTTTGTGGATAGTTAGCCCAATAATCATTTCAAGGGGAGTAATAAAAGGGACTAACAAGACTGAAGCTCAATTGAACAATA